CCCAATTTTTGACAGTAACAAAAAAGAAAATTTCAATAAATCAGAGAGGAAAATTCTTTTTTTTTTTCTAACTCAACCATTAGCGCAGAAATTATGCAAGTCGTAAAAAATCTTGAAAATAAGAAATCTGTAGGCGAAGATGAGATTCCTACACGCGCGAACTCTCTTACTTGATGGAAATAGGAATGGGAAAATAATGGCAGAGAAAAGAAATTTCTTTCTATCGACAAATGATTTTTTCGGAAATCTTTGGGCAAGTTCGTTTATATATTTAACCTTGGTTCAACGGCCAGTGTCAAACGGCTGTACAGAAAAAACACAGAGCATATAACCTTTGGAAACGACAACAAACCGCTCAAAACCACACAGAATTTATAGAAGCCAGAAATAGTTGCAAAATTACTATTGACTCCGCTAAAGAAACATACAATCAAAGAATAAAAAACAGGTTGCTGAATTGTCCAAGTAGTTCTAGGTCCTTTTGGTCTCTTGCAAAAGCTGTTGGATCTAACTTCACCAAGTCATTCATACCACCACTTACAGATAAAAATAATCACTTAGCCACAACATCAGAGGAAAAAGCCAATATGCTTGCCCAAATGTTTTCCTCCAACTCCAACCTAACAGTGCCAAATGGAAAAACTCCACCGTTCATTGAAAGGGTTTCCCATAGTATGCCAGAGGTACCCTTTTGTCACAGAGAAATACGAAAATCCCTTAAAAAGCTGGATACAAACAAAGCAATGGGTCCGGATGGCATTCCCGCAATAGTACTCAAAAATTGCGCCAACGAACTCACCCCAACTTTCGCAAAATTATTCAATTTGTCTTACAGGCAAGGAGTATATCCATCATCATGGAAGTCTGCCGCAGTACAACCCATTCCAAAGAAAGGAAAAAAGACAGATCCGTTAAACTATAGACCAATTACTCTACTTCCGGTGATATCAAAAGTAATGGAGAGAGTTGTGAACAATCACCTAACCAAGTACTTGGAAAAGTACAAAATTATCAACGATAAGCAATACGGATTTCGAAAATATAGGTCAACTGGCGATTTACTTACATACGTCACTCACTTATGGCAAAAAGCGATTGAGTTGCGGGGTGAAACAAGAACAATTGCCTTAGATATATCTAAAGCATTCGACAAAGTTTGGCATGAAAATCTGCTCAACAAGCCCAAAGCAATGGGATTATCGCCGAAACTTTGCACTTGGTTTGAAAGTTACCTAAAGGACAGATCCATTTATGTTGCACTGGATGGCCAGAACTCCAACTCTTACCAAATAAATGCTGGTGTGCCACAGGGAGCAATCCTTTCGCCAACTCTTTTTCTGATTTACATAAATGACCTCATAGATAAAACAGTAAATCCACTTTATTGCTTTGCAGACGATGGCAATGTAGTCTCCTCACTCATACCACCCACAGGTCTTTCCGCACGTGAATTCCATCATCTTAGACTAACTCAAATATCGCAGATAAATAACGACCTGGAGATAATAGAGGACTGGGGTAACAAAAACCTTGTACAGTTCAACACGCAGAAAACCCAAGCAGCTCTGTTTTCAAAAAGACCAGCACCGGTGAGCCAAACATCATGCTATCTGGAAGTGCTGTCACATTACAGAGTCAGTTGAACATCTTGGGGGTTACTACAGAGACCAACATGTCTTGGCACAGTCACGTGGCAGATATTGCTAAAAGGGCGTCCCAAAAGCTGGGGGTGCTATTTCGTACAAGACATCTGTACACACCAAGCCAATTGCTGACACTCTACAAAGCCCAGGTTCGACCAACTATGGAGTACTGCTCACATATATGGAGTGCAGCACCCAAACATACCTTAATGCTTTGAACACCGTGCAGAAACGACCTATCAAGCTGATCAATGACCCCGCACTTACTCGTAACTTGGATGGTCTCGAACATCGCAGATCTGTGTGCGATTTATCTCTCTTCTACAGGTACTATCACGGAAAATGCTCTGAAGAGTTGGCACGTATGATTCCACCGAGAGTAGCACCTACCAGGCGAACCCGTCAAACAGACGGTAACCATGAATTTACTGTCAAACTAGAGGCACCAAGAACCTCATTATATCAGAATTCATATCTCTGGAGAACAGCATCGCTGTGGAATAAACTCCCTGCGACGGTTTTCCCTGCAGGTCACAACCTGAACCGGTTCAAGACCAACATACACCGACATTTCCGCGCACTTGCCGCTTCTCGAGCGTGATAGGACATTTCCTTGCGAGTGCGCATATCCGTAAAAAAAAAAAAAAATAGAAAAATGCCTACTAACCAGCCTAAAAACATTTTAGGAGATTTCAGAATTTTTGCGATTATCAACAACATACTGGTGATTTCGACATTCAATTTTTAATTGTCAGTGTTATTGTTTTTATTTTGCCTTTCCATATTGCACATGATCATCATTATTTTTAAATGAGTTCGATACTAATGCATTCTGGAAGATGCAAAAGAAGGAGATCTGAGGAAAATCCTGAAGGTGGGGAGAAGACCCGACATACACAGAGTTATGGTTATGCGAAAGAGGTGGATTTGGAGCATCTTTAAAATGGAACAACAAGAAAGTTGTGAACGTATTTTTGTTGGAAAAAATATTCTAACAGTGATCTGAATAGTAGGTACACAACAAATAATAAAAGTCCCTCTTCTCTTATTATCTGCTGTATAACTAACATAATCGTCAACATACTGCAAAAAAATAGTACCATGAATGTATATTTTAGATTCTGTGATACTTGTGAGTGAATACCTAGAGGGATTTTTTTTATTGACATTCATGCAAATAATTGTACATGTAATAAAATTTTTTTGACTATTTCCCAGATAAAACTAGAATTTTGCCAAAGAACAAAATTAAACGTGTTTCAGAAAATTATCTAGTTATGAAGGGCTTCTATAATAAAGAACTTTTTGGGGATCCTGATAAATAACAAATTAATGTTGAATGTTTTAAATGTGTATTCTTGAATTTTTCTTTCTAAATTGTCAAGTCTTATGTTTCAAGTGAGTGCAGGTATATTTCTGTAATCTCTTCTGTGATCATCATAGACAAATGATATTTTACTTTATTATATAATTTAGAAATCACTATTTTAAGATTTTAAGATTATAACATTTAACATATTGTCAACCCTTTTTGATATTGTTCGACACCCTTATAGGTTTCTTTTTTGTTTATTGAACAAATAAAACATCTATCTATCAATACAATATTTTCTCACTACCAAAAACAAATTGGATCAATTCTAGCCCTCTTGGGCATCTATGTGGATGGGTACACGCCCAAAGTTTCTATGTATCCGATGACAGTGCTTCCGAGCAACATCGCGTTAGATTGAAGATACCGTCCTAATAGGCCCAAGAAGGCGGAAATAGAGGGCGATAATCGAGGCGTTAATTGAAAGAAAAAAAAAAACAATATTGATATGACCAACTGGCTGTTCCATTTTCTTCTTTCAGGAGTTTTATTTCATCTAGCCATTCTGTTTAGGGCGTTCGGTCGTCAAAGACATCAGATATAGGTATTATTCTGGACTGAGTTTTTAAATTCGCTCATGTCTTTCTTCGTGAACTTCTCAAAAGGGTATACGAATACTCGGTAAACAATGCTCTTACTATGTTCTTGATCTTTTTTTCGTCCATTTCTTGGTTAACAAGAAATGCTTCCCTTGTAACCCGATTTTCTCGGAGAGCTTCAGAAAAAAATAAGTTCTATTTTCTTTGTTCGAAGCATTTATCTCTGCCACATAACCAGGATAGTTTGAGTTACAAATAAATACAACCCAACCAAATATAGAAAAGAAGTGTCAAAAAAAGTTAGGGAGCGTCAAAAGATCAAAATATAAAACAGCTCTGCAGCACTAGGAACGGACGGCACAGGGAGTAAAGTTTGCCAGATAAACAACAAATATGGACGAAAAAACTACACACTTTATAGGAATTTTTCATGTAATAGGTTTTTTGCAACAATATTTCTAGTGATAATCTTCAAGTGATAAACCTCAATAAAATAATCATATTTAGGTAGATATAATAATTATCTCTTCTCCTATTTTTTTTTCCATTTTTATTGTTGAAGTATTTTTCAATAATCTATTGAATTATGTACTATTATCAAGTTATTAAAGTCGAAAACTGCCATAAAATAATAAATTTCCAAACTGATTAGGGTCGTAGAAGAAGCACCTAACCATAGAGATTGGTGTATGATTAGGCAAATGATGCCGGTAACATAGGATTTTTAAGTATCAATTGCCTGCAAAATAAAACTTTTCGAATGATTAGCAAGAGTTCATCAAAAAATTATCAACCATCCAGTATTCTCCATATTGCGGATGTTTTCTTACGCATGGGTACCTAATTTAATAATGCACATCAGAGCATTGCAGCAGATCTGATTATAAATTGTGGAGTTCACAGTTCATCACTCACAGTTCATAATATAAAATTTAATTCGTAAACTATTCTGACCTCGATTCTGACCCAAATAAATGGGGTACCATTTCAAGCGTTAAATTGTTATTTAATCCTCAAGATTTTAAACATATGCACATGTTAAAGCAAAAATTGTGGGCGAAGTTGCAGCAGAATGCAATCCTTCCAACTTTCCTTTCATTTTGTATTTTGTATTCCCTCTCTTTTAAAATGGGTAAATAAAATTATTAGATGAATAAGTATTTATTTTTAGAGAAGAATAAATTTTTGAAATTAGAATTCTCACAAATTAAAGAAAAAAAAAGGCGGCAAATGGTAAAATATTCTGTTATTTCTATGTAACAATACATCTAAAAATAAATATGACAGAGTGATGCTCGTAAATGTGTTGACTGAAGATACATAATAGCAGCCTACGCCAATTTTCCATCATTTAATATTTAGTAATTGTGAATACACACGACAAAAAAAATAGGTAACCTTGTTTGGTTGGCATTGATAGGTTTAAAGAATAAAGCAGATACATACCGCAAATAGGAGGTTCGCAAGAAAAACAAAATATTTCACAATACCCGTCGCACAACCCATTTTTCCTCACTAAATATACGCATATATTTTTAAATATGTATGTATATTTCGAGTATTTGAACAAGTGAAATTAAAGTCTCACTAAAAGAATATATTCAGACGTAAACAAATCAAAGCTATGAAGTACGTTCTAAGCGAGGAGGTGAAAAATAAACGCGACAATGCCAAAGCGCAACCGCGGCTCTCTAGTGCAAGCTACGAGGTAGGTACTGACTATAGTGACAGCGACTACCGAACACCCGACTGAACTTACTTAACTTTTTAACCTACTTAGATTTCTAGTCCACCCAACCAAGAATTCAGCGGGAAAATACATAAATATTGCTTTGTTTAGCCTGGTTCTGGTTGGTCGAGTCCAGTCGCTCGGTCACATTAATGAATCTATAGTCCACTCAACACAGGGCCACATTTTAAAAAACTACCTGCTAGGATTAAGTGATCAACAGCATCTCAACCTATATTAATTTATTAGATATTTTTGTTCTGACATATTATTGTCTACGTTTAATCAAAAAAATCATCAAAAACATTTATGTACAATTTTATATTTTATTCTACAATGTTATACAATCTAAATGAAATCTAGATTAAATAAGAGCTCATGATCTTATGACTGACGAAGCAATAAAAAAAAAATTGCGAAAGCTTTCAATAGATAAGAGTCGTTTTTCTTTTTATCACTGGCATCATCCCCACGAATAATAACATATTCATATAAGGATTTAAGCCGCCATAATACCTAATATTTAATTTATTACTATGCGGTTGCGGAAAAGTTGCCTCCACTCTTTTACCTTTTAAACGTTTCAAGTTTTAGTGAAAAAAGATCAAAAAATTCTCCATGTTCATTAACCTTAACGATATTCTGAAGCTATAATGAGTAGATAACTAAAATACTTACCATTTGGCGCGCTTTAATAATAGAAATAACTACTACGCATTACAAAATGTCTATCAAAACTGTATGGCCCAGAAACCGAACCTCTGTTGTCAGTGCAGTTAGGGCTTAGAGAAGGGCGTTTGATACAGGATCAGGAGGTACGAACTAAAAATTCCCTTAAGCTTATAGCAAAACAAAGCTTACCTGATGATAAGTGCAGAATGTGCCATACTGCGTCTGAGTCTATTCAACATATCTCGTCAGGATGCACACACTTATCTTGCCCCACGGCAATACTTGGAGCGACACAATAGAGTTGCAGCAATACTTCATCAAGAAATATGTAAAATAGAAGAGGAAGAAAACCTCTTTCACGTATACTAACCTCAGAAAATGTTGGAAAGTGACGCGATGTTAGACTATATTGGGATACTGGCGGTTATCCTATTCAGCCTGCCATTGCTAGGACTGTACTGACCCGCGATAAAATCGTAGAAAAAAATTAATAAACAAATGAATAGACAACAACAATAGTCATAATAATATACAATAATAATGAACACGAAACTCTCTGGCAAAACCCAGATCGCCGCCATAATATCCTGGGCAGTCCCTGTAGTGACATATACTTTTGGGATACTTCGATACTCAGATGTTCATACGCAGACCTGAACGAAATTGGCCGAATAACACGGCCGATCATGACCAACTACCATTGCCTGCATACCAACTTATCGTGGAAGCTCCTGTATTTACCACGGAGATAAGGAGGCAGATGTTTAACCAATATCTCTCCCTCCGTAAAACCCAAAAACAAAATATGAGGAAGAGCTTTCTGCAGACTAACGATAAGCTCATGCAGTTAGAAGCAAAACAGGGCCATAACTTCACACCCCTGAAACTGCAACATCAAGAAGTAGAGTATGACGTCAGAACCAAGCAACAAGAGTAAGCTTCTTGGACAGAAAAAGCATTACACAGAAGATACCCCCCAAGTTTAAAGGCTCATCGACATAGCTGCATCACTGGGATGGCTTAACGCTGGTCAAATCTATACTGAGACCGAGGGATTTCTTGCCGCCATTCAATATAGAATCATAAGAACAAAAACACTGTCTTAAACTCGATGTGAAGGACAAATGCAGGAACTCTGGAAGTGTAGTATGGGGTGCCAGGGGAGTCAATCGAGCATATCATGTCAGGCTGCCAAAACCTTGCTGTTAATGCATATCTTGCCGTCACAACCAGCTATCCAAGATTGTACATCAACAACTCGCCTTAAAAATGGAATTCTTCAGATCTGTTCTCAATACTTAAGTAACAGCCGTTACCGGTGTTCGAGACTGAAAGAGTTGATAACGAAAGGGACCGTTGATTACAACAGACCAGACCAGACCCATTGTCCCGATACAGGAGGAAGAAAAAATCGTAACAATAATCGACATCTATGATCCATTGTACCAGAACATTGGGAAGGCTTTTCCATTGCTTTTTCTAGAACTTTTGAATAAGATGGTAGAAAGCTCACTGGCCGCATATTGGCAAAGGTTTCAGGGTTTGATTTTCACTTATTGGTAAAATTTTCAATTTATTTCATTCTGATGGAAAGTTTGTTAAGCAAAAGGTTATAAAGTTATGAGTGCTGTACGGAGTCATCAAAACAAGGGTTGACAAAAAAAATCTTATTTTAGGTAGGTATCCACCTGACTGACACCATTATTAATGCAAAAAAATTTATAAAATTTGTAGGTAGTATTGCAACTCTTATGATACCTAATATTTTTATGGTTACATGTGCAAATAACCAAAAATGCCAAGAGTATAAAGACTTTTTGCTCCACTCAAAAAATCAGCAGTTTTTGGTTGCGTTAATGGGTGAATTTAAAAAAGAAAATTAATACAGCTTTACTGCTGTAACTCTTCGTGTGCGACTTGAAATGCAAACACATAATTAAAGATGCAGATTTGTTGGCAGGAAGTTACAGAAAATTGAAATAAACTAGTGTTTTACTGATTCTATTAACAACAATATATTATGTGCTCACTGCTAAGCTAAGCTAAGCTAAGTAAGTTCAGGAAAAAACAATCAAGTGACAACATTTTGATGTAGTTATTTATCATTTGTGTGAAGTCAAATGACCATAGTATGAGTGGTATGAGCATGAAGTTAGTCACATAGGGTTTGACGTTATTCAAATACAGGATCATCAACGAAAGGTTGACCCTCAATGACTCGTTTCCGATATTTTTTTATTTCGTAAATTTTTTGTCGGTAATCAATGAAGTTCGACCATCTAGATAGGCTGATAAAATTTCAGCTTCATAGGTATATCTAAGCCTTAGATATTCCATGAAGATTGAGTTTCATTGAAAAGCGCTTCGCCTACTCATGACGTCACTCGGCATGATCTCCATGGCCCACTGGTTCCCTGACGTTTATTTATTTATTCTTTTATCTAAAAAAGGTTTTAATATTTATTATACAGGGTGTTCCTAAATATCACGTACAAACGAAAGGGGGTGATTCTTTGGTTTATTTTATGACTAAAATTTCTAATAAACATAGGTCCGCAAACGCTTCGTTACCGATCTACAGGGTGTCAAAATGTTAATATTTTATCAGTTTTTTCGTTATAGCTCCTGCAATTTTTAAGGGATTTAGCTCAAATTTGGAATGAAGGTTACGCAATAGGAGCTGAATGATTGCACATGTCATGCGTTTGCCAGAATCTACAGGGTGATGTTTTTTCAGGGGTCATGCCCCCTTTTCTGCCCCTGAACTTTTTCGCGGTGCGCCGCTGATTGATTCTAAGAAACAAATGAGTTTTTCTACTTTATTTAGAAACTTTTTGTTCTCTTGTAGTTTTTTCGTATTACCAAAAAATTAAAAAACAAATCTCAGTGATTAGTTAGATGAAAATAAAGTGACTCAATGAACCTTTTTCTACCTACAGTGGGGACAATAGAGATCCCGCAGCCATATTCTTGCTCATTTTCAATATGAATACATTAAAATTTGAACACCCTGTAGATCGGTAACGAAGCGTCTGCGAACCTATGTTTATTAGAAATTTTAGTCATAAAATAAACCAAAGAATCACTCCCTTCCGTTTGTACCTGATATTTAGGAACACCCTGTATATTTTGTAGTTTCCTTTCACATACATTGTATTGGCGTATCCAAATTCACGTCAAAATGATTCTCAGATCAATGAACGTCGGATATGTAAGAAATATCATGTCTTTGAATAATATGGCAAAATGCCCTTCCTTCTGCCTTTTTTTTTATTGATGGGCCTCACTTTCCACCTTCTTTGCCTGGTTTGCGACAATCTGGCAAAGTACTAATTTGCAGTATATTATTGCTGGTTGTAGCGACTTACGTCATATTTCGCGGGTTTTCTGCGGCGTTTGAAATGCTGTTGAATTTATATTTAGCTTCCTAGATAGGAAGCTATGGTGATAGCCCGATTTTGACCATGTCAAAATTTCATTAAATCTTGACGTTTTGGATCATTTTAAGACGTGTAGGGAAAAGTTACACAGAGATATAAGAAAAAAAAATTCCTCTCAAAGATATGACGTCATTGATCTTTTTTTCAAATGGGAACGCCATCTTTTTTTTTCATTGATTGGATAGAGCTCATTTTGCTTTATATAATCTTAAAAATCTCAATAGGTTTCATTAGGTAGTTATTTATCTAGGAAGCGTTATGTCAAAAATTTGACATCTGCCGGGGGACTATGTAACGAATAGAGATATTTTCTCTATTTCTGTTGACATTCCTTCTCTATTGATTTCGAGAAGAGAGAAAAAGACAGCAAGTGCCATAGAGATAGAAATAATGATCTCTATGGGTTACATAGTCCCCCAGCTGGTTTTTATTAAAAATTAAATTAACTCAAATGTTCCCCAAAATAGTGTTAATATACTTAGTTTGTGTTCTAGAATTGGAAAAAAAAATCACTAAAAAGTTGTTCATCGGCTGCGGAACTTGCGGAACGGAACGCTTCCACTTCATTTCTACAGGGACGGAAGTGTAGAGTTTCACCAAATAAAATAAGGTTTTTCGGTGGAGAATCGACGTAAGGCGTAAGGGACAGTAGTTGTGCCATTGTTCGCTTACAAAATCTAACATTCCTGTCCGTATGCTGGATGATCGACGCCTTATTATTTTATCATTTTGAGCAGTTTGTATTATTTACTGACATTAAAATTATGTAAACCAATTTTTCATTTTTCCTTGAGATAGTTTTACCTACCAACCCAAAACCAATTCGATAATTAATTTAAAAAAAAAAAAACTATATTGTGAAGTATTGGAAGAACAAATACGGAACTGGAAAGTTGCAAACTTCTAA